TGATTTCAGTAAATAATTGAGTGATTCCATTTCCGATTTTATTTTTCATTTGTCTTTATGGTCCCATAACTTATTTTACATTCAGGTGACATCAATGTAACACAAATATGCTGAAAGTTCAATTTGTCCTGAAAAAAAAGAGGTGTGTCAATTGTCTGTGCACCAAAGGGTTGATATTTTACAAGCTTTTTTAGTAAATGACACCAGACGGAAAATTTATTGTAAAAATACCCTTAGGTCTCAGAGGGTTAAATGTTAAAACGGCTTGCCATACTCTGTCATTTAGACTAGTCACAATTATGTTACAGATATCTTAAATGATAATACACACTATCCAAAATGTAATTACGACTAGACAGAAAGACGTTGTTGATATCTACAATGTCAATTCCGGACAGGCAAACTTAGCTTTTAAATGTTAAAAGGGCTTGCCATACAGGGACGTAGGCTCAGAGAGAGGCTCACCATATTTAAACCAAAATATCTGACTTCCTCTTGGTCCGAGCTAATAACTATGTATTAGAAAGTTGTCCGGCTTGAGGAGTACAATGTATATACCGATTTTTGTAACTGTAGATAAAACTAACAACCCACTTTTGTCAAAAGGTGGCGCTATTTAGTCCTTGCACAATGCCCGTTTCTGAAACTTTGCACATGTCTACTGGCTAATAAATGTGATGTATCTGTTGAGTTTCAAGCAATTTCAATTTCAATTTCAATTTGACTGTTGAAAAGAAGTGCGCTGATTAGATACTCAGGATCGGTATCGGCTCTGACACTGCCATCTTTGACGAGGCTGATTCAAATTCTATATTGTGCATATACTATTCTATGTTAGGCACAAGGCACAAAAAACTTTCTAAAGTACCATAAAGTTTTTGTGTACTGTATTATTAGTGTTCTGAAGCTATTATGTGATATAGAAATTAATATTTAAGTAATTAAATTCAAGAACACAAACTTTTCCCTCTCTGCGCCTGTCAGTCATTTCTCCATTCAGCATTCAAACAGCACGTCACATTCGGGTTACAGTCAATGATGAAACGATCTTCAAGATGATTGAATGTTATCCTATTATACTGGATCTTTAAGATAAAGGTCTAAATGTCTATATTTTCGAATGAAGAAACTTTTTCTTGCTGGACTTTATTGCTGTAACTTAACCGTGTTACTTTCTACCGGTGTCGGACGCTGTCGGTTAGATCACAACACTAGAGTCAGAGCACTATAATTGTTCTTCACGCACACAGTAACTGAAATTTAAAACCTTTAAAAGAGAAGGCTCAATAAACTATTGCATAGATAGATAATGTATAATACACTGTTCATAAATATGTATTTCCTTTTGTGCTTTGAACTTTTCAATACGGATTCACTGCGCTGTAACTTCATGGCTTCAAGCACATCATTCTCCGCTCGATGCACATAAGTGCTTTGTGCTGCACTGTATTGGAGCCGTAATATCATAATGCAGTGACGTAATGACAGATTATTAATTGCCTTTCAATTATATGTTGCTGCGTCATTAAACATCTGTCCTATGCATTTCAAACATTTATAGCAGCCATGGCTATATTTTTTTATGATTTTTGTTATCTTGTTTTTCATGAATGTATTTTTCAAAAATAAGAGCAATGTGTATATCTATTATTAATATGGGTTTATAATAGCATTTTTGTCATAGATTATGACAAAGTAATCATATGATCCACCAGCGAGGAACCAGCAGAACAGAGTGAACATTCTTTCTGTTTAGTTCAATCCTACTTAATAGGAATTTAATTAAAATGCTCGCTCTACCCGACACCATTAATGTCTTGTGCGGACATCCGTATTTCGACTTTCGATTTTAAGTAAGCGATTTAAAAGCTCCCAAGTCCCAGCGGAGTCACACGTTGATTAACCGGTGGGAATATACACAATAGGCCTACCTGATATTGAACACAAGAGGGCAGTATAGCAGTACGTATGACTCAGATTATTATTTTTTTATGAATTTTACAACAATTCTGGCTGTTTTTGAACGTAAACATAATTCTTAAATGAAAAAAAGGAAAAATTGGGGAAGTTATAATATTTGTATAATTTAATTTAGAAACAAATTATGTATAATTACATTTTTAGAAGATATGAGGCTTTTAGTGTTTACTTTTTGACATTACTTTAATCTTTTGCCATAGTTGCACATGTCTACTGGCTAATAAATGTGATGTATCTGTTGAGTTTCAAGCAATTTCAAGCATGCTAAGAGTCCCAAAAGCATCAAAAAGAATGTTAAAGTTTGATTCGTTGCCACGGCAACAGTATCAAAGATATCAAAAATTCATTCACAGGTCTACATCTGCCGTGTATTTACATTATACAGATGAAGTTTGAAGCAAATCGGTTAAAAATAAGAGAGTGGTTTCAAAGCATTTTGAAAGTGACACACTTCCTGCTGCCAGTTGGTGGCGCTATAATTTTGACTCACAATAGTCACATCCATGTGATCGGTCTCTTACAGCGAAAACACTGCTGAAGTTTCATCAAGATCAGTTAATGTATGCTGAAGTTATAACACACATCCTGTTTCATGTTTCTCGCCATAATTTCGTTTCCTCGCCACGGCCAAACCGTTCGAGATATAAAAATCCTTGGCACCTTTTCATTCTTAATGTCTTGACTTCACGCTGATCGAGTTTTGTCGAATTTGGTTCAGTGCTCTAGGAGCAATACTTTAAATTCCATTGCATGTGTTTTAAACACAACCCTAAATAGCCGTCTTCCTGTTGGGCTGGGGTAAAAAGTAAGAGTGTGAAGTAGGCTATATATGAAACGATGAGATCTATATGTGTACCAAGTTTCATATTATTACATGCAAGTGTGTTTGATTTATGGACCAAATTTTCAGACCAAGTTTATTGACCAAGTTAATCTGATTAATAAACTAATTATATAAAACTATTGTCAATGCACTACAATTAAACTAGTTATATGTCTTTACTTATAAAAAATAAAAAAAAAACTTATTTAAAAAATACCAGGCTTGAGAAATGTATTTTCTTTATGCAGGTCATACACACAGCAGTGAAATGGTTAAGCCCCCTCCCCTGCACACTCACACACACACAGACAGCCAGCCAGCCAGCCAAAGACACAGAGACATGTAGGCTCAGAGTGACCATATTCAAACAAAAATATCTGAGTTTCTGTGGGTCCTAGCTAATAAGTGTAAATTAGAAAGTTGTCCGGCTCGAGGAGTACAATATACATACCAATTTTGTAACTCTAGTTAAAACTAACAACCCCACTTTTGTCAAAAGGTGGCGCTACTGAGCCCTCACCACGCCCGTTTCTGAAACTTTGCACATGTCTACTGGCTAATAAATGTGATGTGTCTGTCGAGTTTCATGCATTTTGAAGCATGCTAAGGGTCTCAAAAGCATCCTAAAAGCATCCTAAAAGAAGGGTAAAGTTTGATGCGTCGCCACGGCAACAGTTTCAAAGATATCAAGAATCCATTCACAGGTCTACATCTATCGTATGTTTACATTATACAGATGAAGTTTGAAGCAAATCGGGTAAAAATAAAAGGGTGATATCAAAGCATTTTGAAAGTGACACACTTCCTGCTGCCAGTTGGTGGCGCTATAACTTTGACTCACAATAGTCACATCCATGTGATCGTCCTCTTACAGCGAACACACTGCTGAAGTTTCATCAAGATCAGTTAATGTATGCTGAAGTTATAACACACTTCCTGTTTCACGTTTCTCGCCATGATTTCGTTTCCTCGCCACGGACAAACCGTTCGAGATATCAAAAATCCCCTCGCAAACTTTCATCCTCAATGTCTTGACTTCACGCTGACTGAGTTTTAGTCGAATTTGGATCAAAGCTCTAGGAGGAGTATTTGACATTCCATTGCGAGCGTTTTACAAACAAACCTCAATAGCCGACTTCCTGTTGAGCTGGGGTAAAAAGTAAGAGCGCGAGGTATAGATGAAACGATGAGATCAACATGTGTACCGAGTTTCATATTATTACATACAAGCGTGTTTGAGTTATGGACCAAGTGTTCGGACCCCGTTCCAGGGGGCGCTGACGAGCCGCCCTGCCACGCCCGGGTACCATCTTCAGCCCGGCTCTGATGGCCGCGGGTTCTGACCCGTGTGCAAAGTTTCAAGAGTTTTCGAGCATGTTAAGGGCCCCAAAAATGCCCAAAAGGTAGCAGAAAAATAAAAAGAAGAAGAAGAATAATAAATAATCCCAAGGAAAACAATAGGGCCTTCGCCCCTTCAGGGCTTGGGCCCTAAAAATTCAGCTTTGCGTCACAGGAATAACTTAGGCATTTAAAAAATATACTTTATTCATATCATAACATTTTACAATATTTTTGATCAAATAAAGATAGATAGCCATGATTAGCATAATATACTTCTTTTATAAACATCCTTCTTGGTGAGCAGAAGAGATTTCTTTTAAAAATGTAACCAACCCTAAACCTTTGAATATTAGACTAAATATTACAAATGTAAAAGTAGATTTTTTTTTATCCAAGAAGCGAGTCGAAGCATGCAAATCCCATGATATGCAAATCCTCCGTTTGTGTATTTTTAAGTCTTATCGCTCAGACTAATTCATCTCTCCTCAAAAAGCCACACAATTAGAGTTACTGTCAATGTCCATAACACAAACCACGCAAGGCTTACGTGCCAAAGCTGAATTCTTATCATTAATGATATGAAATAAAGATAATGATAATAGAAATAACAATCAAAATGCTCATCTTTGATGTACTAAAAACCTTTGTGTTTTTCGTGTACAGACGACATAATTGTCAAAATGATCCCCAAGTGGCGATGTCACTTTGTAAAGAAACACTATGCACCCTATAGATGGAACAGGCCCCCAAAACGCCATTGTCAGGTAAATAAACAGCCAAAACGCATAAAAGGTTTATGTTAGTTGAAAACGGTGTCGTGTAAACGGCCCCTTAGATGGTCAATACTCAGTCTTACCGATGGAGCCCTTGGCTGCTATGGCAACCGTCTCCAGCAGCACCTGGACGATACCTGCCCTCACACGTGGGGTGTTCTTACTGTGGGTGTCAAGGTGAGACAACACTTGCTGGATCACATGGTGAGAATGCTGGGCCTGAAACACACAAACACTTCATAAAACATGCCGTACAAGTTCATTTAATTTAATCTCCATTTTAATTAACACTAAGAGATGGAGTGAGAATATGTTCACCTGACCTGTATTGAGTACATGATTATCCTGAAACAGGAAACAGCAAAATCGTTCGGGTCCCACAGACGATGGTTGTCTAAATGCCTGAAGGAAAACAATGCTGTGAATTACAAGACAGCATGTTTACCTAAATAGTCATTCACATTTTTGACATGCATCCCTTTTCCCTGTGTTTATCAAATATTTCGAATAATCTGATAACCAATACTGGTGAAGTGGGTTCAGTTATGTTAAGCAAATTCGCCAGAATTGAGCCTTTGTTAAGCCTTGCCGGCAAAATGGTCCTACATTAGCACCCGTTGCAATACACAAAGGATGCTTTTGCTCTTTCATGAAGTAAGTCAATGGAGGATCTGTGTGATGTTTTTTATTTTAATTTGACATAATGGGAATTATCTAAAGAAATATTAAAATTTTGTCTTTTATAATAGTGACACAAGGTTCTCAGAGATAAAAGTGTTGTTTGCCTCCTTTTCCAAAACTTTTAATGAATCTCCCAAAAGGGGACCAAAAATATTTTTTTTTCCTCTACTGCAATTAGATTAAACATAGTCACCCTTGAATTTAGATTCAGCCTCTGCCATTTGTAATCATGCTATTGTGTTATTGGACAATTTCTTGAAAGAAAAGCAGTAGATAAAAAGCTCTACAAATGTCCCAATTAATTCCAGCCCATTTAAGGATAATATAATACTTGTGGGTAGAAATTTTGGAAATAAATCAATGGTCACCAGCACCAGCATATTTTGATGCAGAAAAAAGTCATACAGTTTGCACTTTGTTATAATTGAATCATCTGTGCATATCATTTTCGTTAGAATTATTTTTCTTCTCTGATGATGTCTTTGTCTGAAATCACATACTCTCTTGAGTTGTTACATGTTTTGAACAAGTACTTTGTAAGCACTAAAAAAGAATGTTCTATATATACAGTAGTATGATTGTGTAGTACGAACGTAATCCGGACATACTATATTCGTCATGGTGTCATTATCACAACCTTGGGAAGTATGAAGTTTAGTAGGGAAGTATGTGATTTCAGATGCAGCCAACGTGTTTACTAGCACTCACTCACACAAGATCAGAAATAGAAAATCACAACGACCCAATCAATTACCGATGGACAAAATCAAGTCCTGCTACTCTACATTTTTTCCTTGTTCAAGAAGCTCGGTAACACTTTACTTGAAGGGGTGAACAGACTAACATGACACCTTCATAATCATGCCATGACATGTTATGAATATGAAGGAAGTTTTATGCATGTTTGTGACAACTGTCATTCAGTTATGACATTTTAAATGCAAATATGACATTGTTCGAGATGTCTTTGTTATGACACCTTGACACAAACCAATACATCATAACCTGTCAGTGTCTTTGTGACAACTTGACATTACTAAGACAACACAACCTGTCATAAACATGACATAGCAGATTAATTATTATCAAACTTAAGAAACCACCTAGCTTTAGTGGTTAACATTACATTAAACTGTCAGGTGGTTGGTTTTGACATTGTCTGTCATGAAGCCATTATAACATTTTAATGACAAATTCAATTAGTACCACTGTAGCTGAGGTCACGAAAAATATTCATGACGACACAGTTATAACGGCCTCATGACAGCCAATGTCAAAGCCAACCACATGATAGTTTAATGTAATGTTAACCACTAAAGCTAGGTGGTTTCTTAAGTTTGATAATAATTAATCTGCTATGTCATGTTTATGACAGGTTGTGTTGTCTTAGTAATGAAAAAGAGACTGTCATAAAGACATCTAAATGTCATATTTGCATTCAAAATGTCATTATTGAGTGAAAGACACTTAATTACAGTTGTTATAAACATGCATAATCATATTCATAACATGTGTCATGTCATGGTTATGAAGGTGTAATGTTAGTCTTATGCACACCCCTTCAAGTAAAGTGTTACCAGAAGCTCTTTTCCAGAGATATATGTCACAATAGGGAAGAAAAGGCTATTGTAACTTCTGTTTCACACCGACTTTAAAGGCTCAAGTGGAACTGTGTGTAATACAGCTATTTGGAGTCGGTTCTGTCACTTGTGTCTGTCATATCGAGCACGGCGGTTCCATTCAACAGCAGTTGTGATGCGGAAAACTTGAGCATTCCTGTGCCGCAACACAAATCATGTTTCAACACCTTTATCTCTCCTCTTTTCCGCAGTCTGATCTAACTCTAAAACCTCTATGGCACCATCCTCTCCCTTCCTGCTGTCGCCATGGTAACGTCAATCTGATCTCACCCCCCATCCGATGAGAGCTATTTTTGGAACGCCTGAAATCCCCTTCCACCCAAAAAAAAAAAAAAAACGTCTCCGCGAACACCAGCCGTGTTATCGGAGGTACAGATAACTACCCTGGAGCTCGACGTTCCCTGAAAACCTCACACAAGTTTAATAAATGCAGAGCACACAGCGAAACAGTTTAATAAGGAGAGAGGGATAGAGTTAGAGAAAGAGCGAGACACGAGAGACGATGAAGGTGATGGAGAAAGAGACGTGCTCGAGAGCCCCTCGGCGCTTTGATATTCTCTTTTTACAGACATCTCACTCAGCGCTAATTGGCCAATGACTGAGATGAGCCAAAACGGTCTCATTAATGAGCTCTTAGAGTGTCTGCACACACACTGCATACGGTTGCATGTGTCTGAATTGTGTGCTAATAAGCTACAGATGGAGACCAGGTCAGGGCAGTCAAACCGAAAGCTGCTCATTTACACACGATGCCAAAGTCAGAGCAGCTCATCTTCAGATCTGAATCTAAAGTTTCACCTTCAGCCTCTGTTAAACTCACCGCAGACATACATGTTCACAGACCTATAGTAGAACATTTAGTCTTTAACTTAAAAAAAAAAAAACAGACTGTGGCTTTTTTCCATTTCATCATCCATTTAGAAATGTACACTACTGTTCAAAATATTGGAATCATTTATTAATTGTAAGATGTTCTTGAAAGAAGCTATGCTCACCGAAGCTGCATTAATTTGATCAAAATGCTGTAAAATAGTAATATTGTTGTGACATATTATTACTGTTCTTCTATTTTAAAATGTAATTTATTCCTGTGATGCAAAGCTGAATATTCAGCATCCTTACAGTCTCACGTGATCCTTCAGAAATCATTCTAAAATTTGCTGGTCAATTATTATATTTTTTTTACTGGTGTTCAAATATTAATAATGTTTCCTATTATTAACAATGTTGAAAATAGCTTTTGCTTCTTAACATTTTTGTGGAAACCATGATACATTCACCATTTTTTTTGAATTTTTTTGTATCTTTTTTTTCTTGTATTTCTTTTAATATTTAATGTCACTTGAATCAATTTAAAAAAAAAAAAAATCAAAAATAATTTATTTCCTTACCCCAAACTTTTTATTAGTAGGGTATCACGGTTAATGTTTATACGTAAAGGGTAACGGGTATGTAAAGGGTATACGACATTGATAATAATAATAAATGTTTCTTGAGCAGCAAATCAGCATATTAGAATGATTTCTGAAGGATCATGTGACACTGAAAAATAAATTAAATTTGAAAATATGTTAAAAAAAAGGGAAAACGGTTTAAATATTAATAGTTTATTTCAATACTTAAATAACATTTCAGTGCATTATAAAACTTTTTTTGTGGTTTTAGTGCATCAAGCTCTGCGTCATAATGTAATAGTTATCATTAGATCAGTCCCACGCCTGTAAAATGACTTCAATGTTCTTCTACTAGACTCGGCTGGGTGTGCGCTGCATGAAACAGGGGAACATTAGTGCTAATGGAGGAAAAAACAGCATATGATATATGAGATATTCAAGTAATAAGCCACAAGAGGACAAGCTACAGATATTGTTAAGCATGATACAAAACGGGTAATTAATATAACAGACATTTCAGCTACAGGTTTCTTTTGATAACGAGATCTATTCATTTATCATATAAAGTTGTACTTCAATATTTAATACTGCTAAACGAATTCTTGCTGCATTAGAATAGAATAATCAATACTGCATTCATTGTGCACTGTCTACTTATGTAATACAGATGGTTTTTGTTGCCTGTCCAATTTAATTAAAATGAGCAGATACAATTGTTGCACATTTTATCATGCTTGCAATTAATTTACATTTATAAAATGAAAGTTTGCTTAATCCATTTGCATTGAGGTGAACAATTTTCACATTTCACAAAAGGATGCATGGTTTTTAATCTAACATCATCCGCCCATGTAGTTTGTTTACTTGATTTAATACTCTGCTAGATTAAAATTTAGTTATTTCCTTAATTATTTTTGTATGGCAGGAGAAAAAAAAAACCAAAAGCTAATATTTGCCTATTTATAAATATCCAAAACTGTATAAAACATATTGTAACATCATTATGCAGTTAAAATAAATATAATCAAGTAATTGAACTTTTTATTGAATCTTAAAATTAAGATCAGTTAGAAAAACGTATAGCTAAATACAGTATATGCACTATTATACATTACTGTTCTTCAATAATCTATTCCGATCTATATTTGAACAAATCCTTCATGAAAAAAGTTATGATAGTCAACTATTTAAAATGTTTATATTTAAAAAAAAAAAAAAAAATCGGAGAAAAAAGACTTATGTAATTATAACGTTATTATTATAAAACTACCTTGTGTGTAATTTAAATGTTTGTAGACAAATCAATATTATATGCATCAGCTTATTATAGCAATGTAACAACTATAGTTTACAGCATTAGCAATTTTCTTTTCCTTGAGAAAATGTATCATGTACTGTACTTTATATGAATCGAGATGGAAACGAAACGAGTCAAAATCAGAATCATGAACGGAAATCTTTTTTTTATACATTTAATAACGCATTGTTGATGCAGTCTCGTTGCCAAATCAACAGTCTCAATGAAATCATAAAATACTTAAAATATTACACTAATTGTGAGGATGTGAAATCAGGGAAAGCCCAAATGAAGGGCAATATCTGTGTTGATATGACAGGAAAGTCCCTAGGCTGCACAGTCAGTGTGTAAACAGAGACACATATTTGCATCTGCAACCCATTTAACACCTAAATCAAGCTTAGAACAGCTGGATTGAGATCACAACAGTTCCTTTAATACAAAGCACGGGCACCTGAGCGCTGCTTGCATTTTCTGCATGGTGTTTGTGTTGAGAGTGGAATGAATGAATCCCATCATGCCCACAGCGTGAGTGGAAGCAGACGAGCAGCTGACAGCAGCATCCGCGTCTGGACACCTGAGCTCGCAGGCTAACACCGCGCCGCGTGCTTGTCTGAAAACATCTGCGTGTCTCAAAGTGCTCTGGCACCCTTTGCATATGGTTATGCGCTGCATATTTGAGACTAGGGTTTGCTTAGCTCATAAAAACACCTGATCATTTTAAAAATGTTATCATCACTGATAACAATTTTCTCTTGGGATGCCTGCTCACGGTCAACCCTGAAAAATGATTAATGGAAACTGACATGCTTGAAAAGCTGAAACGGCCACACATATTTTAGCCTGTGAGCTTGTGTGTGTGTGTTACAGGGACAATCACAGATTTAAAATGGTACAATACCAATATTTTGGGAATTAATTGTGAAGCATAATAAGGCAGTTTTTATATCATAAATTAATTATGTTTCTACTCCTATTTGTCATTAAAATATAGACATCTAAATGATGGCTGTAATAAAAAACTTATTCAGGTTTCAGTGTTTTCATGACAGATGTATTCAAACATACATTAAATCATGACAACAGTAAGTAAAACAATACTGAATATGTAATATTTTGCTATATATACACATGTATATATATATATATATATATATATTAAAAGTTTGTTTTTAGCTAACTAACTAGATATGAACTTGGCTTTCACATTTAATATGAAATGACAAGCTGTTATTGAAGTCTTTCCGTGGTTGAAACACTGAGTAATGACATGAAACATGACGCATCTCAGTAAGTAATAATACGTTCAGTAAGTAATAATGAAATAATTAGTTCGTTCACATTTAAAATTGTTGGTGCAGCACTGAAATCTAAATGAAATCAATGTCTATTGAAGTGAATCTCATGATACACTGGATTCCCATAGCAACAAAAACAGTAAGTTATAAAAATATTTCCTGCTGGATCTGTCTGCTGCCTTTGACACAGTTAACCACCAGATCTTTCTGTCAATCCTAAAGATGAATGGCACCTCAGGATCCGCACTCCAATGGCTCCAAGCCTTACCTCTCAGGTAGGTCCTTTAGGGTGTCGTGGAGAGGTTGAGGTGTCTAAGATATCTAGCGACTGGGGTGCCTCAGGGCTCAGTGCTTGGACCACTCCTCTTCTCCATCTCCATCAGTGTTTCCCAACCCTGTTCCTGGCGGCATACGCCTTATTCATGGCAGCGCCATCTTTGATTTTTAATGAGAATGAAAGCGAGGCTGTGAGGGATAGACTTGCATCTCTTCAATGGGCTGTATTGTTATTTAATGTGTTTTCGGATTGTTCTGCTCATGAAACACTGGAAAAATATCTTTCTAAGAAATTTCAGTTGACAAAAAACTCCTGACAATGTAAGTTGTGGAAAATTGTAAGTAATCTAGGAGCTTTATTCAGCTTTTTAAAGCGGATGCCATTGGAAACACGGTAAGTCTATCCCTCACAGCCTCACTATCACACCTGTCATGGCGCTGCTCTGAATAAGGTCTATACCAACACTGCGCGTATTCTTTGTCTCCCTTATCAAACACACCTGATTCAACTCATCAGCTCATTAACCCATCTGATTATGAGCTGATGAGTTGAATCAGGTGTGTTTGATAAGGGAGACAAAGAATACGCGCAGTGTTGGTGTGCCGCCAGGAACAGGGTTGGGAAACACTGATCTACATGACATCACTAGGATCTGTGATTCAGAAATATGGCTTTTCCTATCATTGCTACGCTGATGACACACAACTCTACCTCTCATTCCAGCCTGATGATCCAACGGTATCTGCCCGTATCTCAGCCTGTCTGACTGACATTTCTGGCTGGATGAAGGACCAACACCTTCAATTAAACCTTGTGAAGACAGAGCTACTGTATGTGTGATCCCGGCCAACCCTACAATTCATCACAACTTCTCCATTCAGCTAGGCTCATCATCCATAACTCCATCAAGGTCAGCCAGGAACCTTGGGGTTGTAATCGATGATCAATTGAACTTCACAGACCACATTGCTAGAATCCAGAATGCTGCTGCAAGAGTGATCTTTAATGAGCTTTAATGAGCCTCAAAAAATTGCACTGGTTTTCAGTTGCCGCTCGCATCAAATTCAAGTCACTGACTTTTGCTTACAGAACAAACACTGGCTCTGCTCCCTTTTAGCTGAACTCATTACTTCAGACTTACGTGTCATCCGGAAACTTGTGCTCTGCAATTGAACACCGTCTTGTGGTGCCATCTCAAAGAGGTACAAAATCTCTTTCTCTGACCTTTTTCTGATCTGTTTTAATGCTGGTGGAATGATCTGCCGCTGAGTCCATGGCCATTTCCAAGAAACGGCTGAAGACGCATCTTTTTTGGCAACACTTGATCCCATTAATACTAACACTTTATCATTTATTCTATATTTATTATCTTAAAAAAATCAAGATAAACTTAAAACTGTCATAGCACTTGCATATTGTTGTCCTATTGTTATGTTCACTGCTTCTATTGTTCTCATTTGTAAGTCGTTTTGCATAAAAGCGTCTGCTAAATTAATACATGAAAATGTAAACAGCACTAGAAATGTCAAAATAGCTCCTGGTTGTGTGCATATTATAAAAAAAATTAGGGCAAAATTTATAGTCATGGTACCCCGATCACAATGTGATGTTACCATAGCAACAAGCCCAGAAAAATAAAGCAAAACCCTGAACTTAAAGTCAAGGCTTGAGTTATTAATTTTACTGTAATGAATGAATAGTGAGTAAACCACAGCTGCCAGAGAGACTATTCAAACAATAGCACTGGATAATGGTACCTACAGCACAGTGTAGCCATTGCAATGGTACTTACACCAGTACAGGGCGCACTGCATTGTTCATGTTGCCGTAAGCAGCTCGACCCAGCAACTCTCGAAAGCAACTCTCAGCCAATGAAGCCGGATTTTCCTCTCCAGCCCTGAAAAAGAGACGCATACATATAAGAGCACATGTACTAAACTCGGTCATTTACAATGTGTGGTTTTATGCTCTGCATTCTGATGTCAAATACACAAGTGCATTATTAATTGATGAAATAAAGACCGGTAAAGAAAAAAATCCCAGCCACCTCTCTCTCTCTCTCTCTCTCTCTCACAAACACACACACATTCTTTGTCCCTTCAGCTCACCGACAGCCCATGGAAAGCAATTAACAGAATCTGACGACCTTGAAAAGCTGAAATAACCACACAACTCTGCAGACACACACATCAGTTGTGTGTGTCTGTGTTTTCTGAGCCAATAATAGTCATAGTCACATACTGTATTCAAGCTAATCAGAGTGCCGTATATTAAAGCACTGCAGCAACACCAAACAGGGGCCATGTTTTGTAAAGAAATACTAGTATACTGTTTACCTCACAGTATATACTGTATACTTCCTGCTATTTTGTCAATAATTTGCAAAATAGTATGAAATAATGTTTTAAACTGTGTTGTGCTGCAAAAATAAAAACTATCATATTATTTTCCAGAAATACTTTTACGTATAATAATACCTTTTACTTTAGTTTGTTGAGAAATATTACATAATTATTATTATTTTATAGTCACATGTCACAAATTGTGTAGCTCTTCAAACTAATATAGTAGGTCTGGTTATACTATTCACACACAAATGATGCATACTACTGCAAAAGTAGTTTGAATAGTACAGCAGGTTATGACATTTCTGAACACTCTTTACAAGTGTATGAATCTAGAAAGTAATTGCAGTAAATAATGAATTGAATTAAACATTTCTAAGGCGGTTTTAATTTATTCTGAGAGATTGATGAGAAGAGAGTCCTCTGTGACATCAGCAGGTCAGGTGTCATTCAAGCCAAGCTCACACACGTCAATCAAACACAGCCCTGTTTTGTGTTTGCAATCTTAATCACCGATCGATACACAAGATCGGATTTCAGCTCCTGGTTATAGGGCAGAGGGGAACAATTGATGTTTCCATTCGCATAAACACAAACAGGCAATTAAACTTAAATATTCTGTGCACAGAGGAGCCATTATCTGAGACAAACTCACGTTTTATTCTCACACACAAAAACACACACACACTTAGAGGAATCAGATATCCTTGATTGCCCTCTACACGTGGACCTCCAAAGATCTCTTATCAAGAAAATATCTCTTCCTCCCTGCCTCTCTGTGTTTGGTGGTGTCATTCAGTGTGTGGTACAGAACAAAAAAGTTGAATTGGGAAAAGAAAAAATCTTTGACCTTGTGGGGACATTTTTTGGTCCCCAGGAAAACGGCTTTTAAATCACATTAAATTGTGTTTTTTGAAAATGTAAAAATGCAGAAAGTTTTATGTGAGGTTTGTGTTTAGGGATCGGGATAGGTGATAGAATATACAGTTTGTAGAGTATAAAAATCATTATGTCTATGGAAAGTCACCATAAAAAATGGAAACCAAACTTGTGTTTGTGTGTGTGTACCTACCTCTCTGAGTCATCATTATCTTGCATGTTGAACAGCATAGAGGGGATGAGTTTATCCATGTGTTGAGGTTCCCAGATAATTGCCTGGAGTTCATCATTCACAGTTTTTCTAACGACACCCTGAAGACCCTTAATGCCTGCTACACGGATCCTACAGGAACACATTAAACACAGTAAATAACACACTCATTAGATCACAACTGCCAAAGTCAACTTATGAATCTGACTGCATTAGTTAACACAATGTCAAAAAGCAATTTGCACCTGGAAACAAATTGCAAGACCTTTTCTCAATACTACGTTCATACAGTAAGTCACCTATGGGCTAATTTGGCATTGTGGTTGAAAATTTTGTTACATATCTATTGTTTTTCTTTTATAAAATATTATAATAATATTAAAAATAGCATGTGTGTGTGTGTGTGTGTGTATATATATATATATATATATATACACACACACACACAAACTGTAACTGGCCATTCAGAACTTCAACTAGCCAAAAAAAAAAAGAAAAGAAATTAAACAGATTAACTACGTCACAGATTATATATTGTAAAACTTGGATTTCATTTATTCAAACAAAATCCTGTCATCCAGCCGTCTCCTCCCTTCCTCTTTCATCCTCATCACCAAAAATATGTTTTAGGAGGACAGATTAATACAGTACAAATAACTTTTTAATTTTCGCTACTTCTTAAATGCAAATGAACAAGCGTGTCATTACTTGTTGCGTAGTGAGCAACAAGTAAGCCAGATATGTGCAGATTCTATGCGATGCATTGTATTTATTTCATGTTGACTCACGAATTGAGTATTTGCGTTAAATCTGCGCAAACTTGGCTTACAAGAACTTCCCCAGCAAAGTGATTAATAAGTAACACGCCAAATTAGCTAGTGATTTGACCCGCCACAGTTGTATATACCCTGTACATACACATATACATACACACTGTTCAAAAAGTTTGTGGTTGGTAAGATTGCTATATGTTTATTTTGGAAAAAGCTACATTTTCATTCTTTAGAAATCATTCTTCTTAAAGGGATACTCCACTTTTTTGGGAAATAGGCTCATTTTACAACTCCTTCAGGGTTAAAAGTTTGAGATTTACCATTTTCAAATCCTTTCAGATAATTTTCTGATATTTAGAAGAATATCAGTAACCAGACAGTTTCTGGTCTCATTGACTACAAAGTCAATAAGACCAGAAACTGTCTGGTTACTGATATTCTTCTATATCAGAAAATTGGCTGAATACATTCGAAAATGGTAAAACTCAACTATTTAACTCTGGGGGAGTGGTAAAATGAGCCTATTTCCAGAAAAAAAAAAAAGTGGAGTATCCCTTTAATATGCTGATTTGCTGCTCAACAAACAATTCTTATTATTTTCAATGTTGCAAACAGTTGTGCTACTTAATATTTTGTGTTACATTTGTTAAAGGATTCTTTAACGACAGTTAAGCATATTATGTTTTATTATAATTTATTATAAAAGTAACATTATAGTTTTTTTCTTTTCTTTAAATTATTTTCATTTATTGACAACCCAACATAAAACAACCACAGACAGACACTAATGCACACACCTGCTGCGAGTTTCGGGGTCCTCATATGTTGAATGACACATGGCACTGAACTGTGAGACGAAAAAGTCATATCTGCGATGGTAAGACGGTGTATCCTCCTCGATGTTCGCGAACTTCACAAACTATAAGGAAAGAGACACACATTTAGAATTTGTCAGAAAAACACACAACCACGCCCAATATTTTGCAGTCTCACAAAATGACGGATTCAAAAACACCCCCAAACAAAGGTGTGATGGTGATATTCCCTTTCCATGATGTGCGGAGGAAGTTACTGTTAACAGCCAGACGAGTGCGACATCTCGTTAGATAAACTAACGGGGATCCATATTTGACATTTGTAGAGCTGGTTTCACAGACAGGGCTTAGATTAAGCCATGATTAGGCATTAGTTCAATTAGAACATTTAAGTAGCTTTTATAAACATACCTAAAAAGCATTACTTGTGTCTATCTTGAGACAATACAATGGCACTGACATTTTAAGATATGTCATTGGAAGTTGCTTTCAGTTAAAACAGCTCAAACATGCATTTTGGTCAGGGACTAGCTTAAGCTTTGTCTGTTAAAGCGAGCAATAGCATTATATTCCACAGAAATTTGCCAAAGCAGAAATTACTGAACATCTGCCACCCATTCCTTGACTCTCAGTATTTAACATGCATTAAACAACCCCTGTATTGAATGGCTTCTGTTTTTAAAAATTCCTACATAATTGATGTGAATCATCATATGTTGATGCCCTGAATTCTTTCTGAATGACCTGCTCTTGCGAGCACTTAAAAAAAAAAAAAATCTCACGTTACTGAAAAATGTAGTTTCAGGCTTCAACAGATGATGCAATGTTCAAAACACGCAAATAATTCAATGCAGTAGACTCTTTGCAATGAAATGCCCAGATCCTCTGTGAGCAGATATGAGAGACCCAGATGAGGAATAATACAGCAGAACATGGAGTGAGCAGAGAGAGCGGGAGACTGAAAGAGTGAGAAAAAAGAAAAAAAAAGCACCATAACAAATGGCAGTCAAACAGTCAAAGCCATTTCTCATCTTCAACCTGAATCTCTCATGTCTCCTGCTGAGATCACTCAGGCTTCTTCAGTCACACACACAAACTTACCGAGTTGGTGCCCAGCACTTGTAAATCTGGTTCTCTGGATTCCAGCAGTTTGGCTACCATGTGTAAGAAGCTCTCCACAAATGGCTTGATACTCTGAGAATGACAGGCCATCAACAACTGATCCAACGCCTCCATCGCTATCACCACGTACCTGTGTGTACACACACACACAGAGAAAGAGAGAGAGAGAGAGTAGATGAAACAGTGTCCAAAATGAACACTTGCCAAGCTCCAAATATAAGTAAAAATTAAAGTGTAAGAACAAAAATAGTATAAATAATAAAATTGTAAGAAACAAAATAACAAATACAATTTTAATAATGATAGTCTGAACATCTTTGATGTGATATTCAAAGCATATACACTCTGGTTTTTGCAGTGCTGCCAAAGAAAAAGCATTTTTTGGTTCCCCAAAGAACCTTTCAATGAACAGTTCTTTATTATTATTACTATTTGTTTCGCTAAAGAACCTTTTCCCACTATTAACAACCTTTTGCGCAGAGGAAAGTTTCTATGGATGTTAAAGGTTTTTAACAAAAACCAATAGGAGGAACATTTTATTGGTTCCCATAACTACTGGTGGAAGTACCACCCACTTTCAGCTTGGTTTTGCGCTCCTGGACCCAGTCAGCACAAAAAAACGAGCTGAATGGAGAGAAAGGCTCAAAACCATGTCAACAACCTCTAGAAGCTAAAAAGAAGTTGCCAGGAATCCAACCTACAAACATGAACTATGTTAACCAATATATGTCTATGGCCTATTGTCACCTTGACAAACATAAACGTTTTCATAGATCCTAAAACTATTGGTGTAAGTTGCTACTTTTTTGCATGTTCGCACCAAAAGAACTGGGAATGATTTTAGTTAGGTAGGGTTGGGGTCCAAACCCAGTTATTTTGAGGGGCACTGACCGAATTAAGTCAGTACTAAATCAATCGGTGAGAGAGCACATCTGGGCGTGAGAGTAAAGGTCCGTTATATACAGTATATTACTCCACAAAAGCGGTGTGGGAAATAACTGTGTGTGTATTTGTGTGCGTCTTACCCATAGCGATGTCGTACCACATCTCGGCTAAGACGTTCAGCCAGGTATGCTCCGATGCGGTCCAGCTTCTCTGGTGCCGACACCGCATAAAACGTCAACTTCTCCATGTCCGATTTCACCAGTCCATCCTGAGGAACAAAACAAAGAACTATGAACATTTGTTTAAATAAAAACACATCTAAACCTTGAATGGAACTTTTACGAATAAAATCAAAGCCAAACTTTTTGCACTCTTCAAAAACATTGCTAATTTACCCTTCGCATGGAGTTTGATTGACAGGTAATCTGACCAATCATAGTGCGCCATCCGCCATTTTGTCCGACAAAGTAGTCAGAAGAGATAGAAGATTAACATGAGAGAATTTGAACTTGAAAAACGGAGTGCACTGAGGCCTTTCCGCGGCGGTTAAAACAACATTCACTCTTACGTTCATTCATGTTTATTTGATGCTTTAAATGAACTAGATGAAAGAGATGATCGGATCACGAGCAGCTTTAACTGATGCTCTACAGCGATCTGTCACGACACATTAAAGAGCCACAAAACAGTATTTATTGTTTAAATTTCTTTTTTTTTTAAATGACGAAATTTGAAAGGTGAAACTTTGTTTAATATGTTTAATATCAAAAGTGTCCGAAAAGTAATCTGGTCTGTCCTGTCTGTCAGTGTGTTGTCAGTCTCCTCTCTGCTCCGCGATGTATTTTTCACTGCGTGAGAACATGATGTGCGTGTGAGAGCGGCGTAGCTTATGGGATATAGCAACAGTAACTAAGGGGGGCGGGTCTTTGCGAAGGGTCAATTGTTAAAATATATAGATTGAAACGTGTGTGTATATATATATATATATATATACAGTATATGACCAGGTAACCACGTTAGTTAATTTTTGATGCTGTTTGCGAATGTAAGTTTGAACTATGGTTTTGGGAAACATTGAATCGTTGAAATACTGTATGTTGGTAACAATGGAACTTGCGACCATAGTTAGCTAACAATGCTTTTAGGAAACGCACCCCTGGTCTATAATGGTGCCTAGCGATGTCTCCGTAAACTGACTATGTACAATATTTGAAGTTAATATTTTTTGGGAAAAAGTGTTTACAGTCTAATGTAAGGCGTCAGAAGTAGAAACTCACTTCTACCCAAAATCCATTTAGAGAAATAAGCTCTCAAAGTGCTAATTAACTTAACAGGATTTTAACATATGGTGCATAACATAACTGTGGGTAATCTGTGTGTGTGTGTGTGTGTGTGTCAGTGGAAACAGTCACACCCTCTCATGTAAAAAAATTACTCACACTTAGCCTTCCGAGAAAACAACTGTGTGGGTGTGGGTGTCATTCTAATCAACAGTTGAATGATAAATATGGAGTAACAGCAATGTTAAAAAGCTTCCTAGAATGTATGTTGTTGTATATCAAACTGTTGAGAAGGTCAAAGGTCAAAATTAAAGCATTAATACATATTCATAATAACAGTGCAATAAAATTTCTCTCCAACAATATGAATAACAATCAACAGCTGCCAGTCAACTGCACTTTAAATTTAGATTGATAGTCCAAGCAGCTTCTTTCTTATTATGCCGTGGCATTTACTTTACTGAGTCTCTGGGGACAGGAAGAGCCAATGAGAATATATTTTGATCACAGCACTTGAACTTGAATGCATCTGAAGCCCAGTGCATGAACTGTGATATAACTATGGTATTTAAAGATTTTATTTTAAGTCTCTGTCAAAAACCTGAGTTCATTATGTAAATGTTTTCAAATGTTGGATTGTATGTCTATGTGGTGTTTTTAATATGCTTTAAAAGAGATCGTTCACCCAAAATTTAAAATGATCTCATGATTCACAAGCCATCCTAGATGTATATGACTTTCTTATTTCAGATGAACACAAATGGAGATTGTTCATAGATAGTCCACTCAAAACTCAAAAATTTGCATTTGTGTATGAACTATACCTCAAGACAACCCATTCATAAGTTCATAAGTCAACACCATTTCTGAGTATTTTCTGAGAAACCAACTGTTTCCTACCATCACAAACATGTAGCCAATCCCGTCAACTTGCGTGGCAAGCTTTTCTCTAATGACTTTAAGTTTTTCAAAGGCTTTTAAGGATGATGATTTTTAGAAGATATGGCAAATGGGAGCATGGTTTGTGTGTAACATCAGCAACACATTATTAGCTGTTTGATAATGTAGTCAAGCCAAAGCTAATCATGTCAATTACAGTTATGTCTCCAATGCTGTAGAGAGCGATACATAAAGCGTATCGATACATGGACTTGTTAACGAGCCTGTATAATTCTTCTACTTTTTCTGATTCAGTTTCTGGTTCAAAGTAAACACATATGGTTGAATGAAACCAATATGTCCACTTGCCACTGTGTAGAGATTACTTCAGTTGACCAAGCGGATCAGGTAGTCTAAGCTGGTGTGATTGAGTGGAGGCGGAGCTAATTTGCATATTCAGGAAACCACGTATACTAAAATTATTTTCACAGGAAAAAAAATAGATCCATTTTCATAACTAAAGATGGGTTTTAAGGGATAATATTATTGACTGCAGAGGGACTTTATCATCTGTAGTTTAGTGGCTGAATTTAAAGTGAAACACTGATCTGGCTAATATTTTGTCCATTTTGAGATTAACATCTAAAATTGCTTGGTCACTTAACCATTCTATCAGTTACAAAATCTGTGAATATTTCAGTTAAAAATCCTTTTTTTGGAATATTTTCCAAATTTAAATTTTAAAGTATTTGTGTGACACTCATTTTATATTTTTATTTTCAAAAACTGTAATTAAAAAAAATATTATTACTAATGTATATTATACACTATACAAACAAATACACATATATATATTGCTGTTTATGTTATAACTATGTTATAATTAATGTATCATAAATCTTACACAAATTGTGTTTAAGAAAATGTAATAAATTCAAGACGTTTCAGAATCAGGATGTCTGACAAACTAAAAATAGCCTATGTGTACAGTAATGCACTTAAAATGGAGGCCTAGCAGACAAGCTGGCAACCTGGTAGCCTATATTCAATTTATTCCAATATCCCAGAATTGAATTTCCATCTATTCCAGTGATGTGTTACCTTGGGGTCCTCAGGAAAAATATTGTCCACTAGTCGCTTGTAGCGTGGTCGCAAAGGACCACAACATCCACACACACCTGTAAAAACAAAAGAAAAAAGGTAAGTGTTATGCATACAATAGAAACACAATCTTGACTTTTTAAATCAACTGTATGTTTTCTGTTCAAACTGTAGAAACACAAATGATTCTAGTGAGTTTGATTCTAGTGCATTGAATGAGATATATCCAATGTGGCGTTCTTGCATCCATCTGCACTGTATTCTAAATGTTTTTCTATTTTAATATGCACTTGACTGACGTCTATGTTGAGTTGCATGATTGCATTAGCAAGTTTTTCATGTGTTTTCTCCCATAGCACAACATTTTAAGATGGTTTGTTAAGTTAAATAAGTTCAGCATTACAATCGTGCCTTGCGACACTAGCTTTCAGTTCCATTCCGCTGCGCTGTGTCTGGCAGTTCCTAATGAGCTAGGAGGACAGATATGCAACATAAGCAGTCCTACACCATACATCCAAACTTCACCCGCTCGGGCCAATAAGAATCTACATACACATGATATTATAATGAGCTGTCAGGATGAAATGTGTATGTGCACTGGTGAAAGGAACAATGCAAACTGCAGTGTGTGTGTGTGTGTGATGCCACACAGTTTGAAGGGATAATGAATTATTAAAAAAAGTCAAAGAAGAAATCTGAGAGCAGCAGAGCAGCTAGTACACACACACACACTTCTCATATTCAACACACACAAGCTGCTCTGACAGTCCTTCACCAGCTAGAGCTGAAATTGCTCATTCATCCTGTTCAACATGGATAATAAATCTGGATTGCATGTGCATGCATGTGTATATGCCAACGGAGCAAGTGTGCGCAGGTGTGTGTGTGCAGGGATTGTAAAGTGAGATGTGGAAAAGGAGCCGCCATTATCAGCTCAAACACCTGATCCAACTTCTGAAAGACGGAAAAAGCGAGAGATGCTGCGAGGGGGGGAAGGGAAAGCGAAAGAGAGTGGGCTTGCGAGCTCTACTGCAAAGTGACAAATGCATCAACGTTCTTATTACCAAAGCAACACCCTTGTATTAATCATCAGGATCTCACACAAACAAACACACACATAGATACCAAGTCTGCTGAGGATAGATCTCCTCTCCCAGGTGTGTCTAAATCGGAAGGTTCCGTCAGCTTCCGAGAGCGGCACCTGTCTGTACCTCCTCATCATGACCTCTGTTCTTTGATGACTCCTTTGGCCCCCCAAAACCTCAAACCTGGTCAAAACAGTGACCTTTTCTGCCTCCTGCCACAACCCTGGTCTGAGACTCACACACACACCTGAAGGGAATACCTGCACGAGGACTCGCCCTCCTCGGGGACTGACAGCAGAGCTAACCAATTACAGCTCACAGGAGGTTACGCCTACTGTGGTTTGTCTGTGAGGTGACAGACAGAAATAAGGCCATTTACTCTGCACTTTAACAAACAGGAAGCTTAATGAATAATCTAAAAAATAAAATAAAATAAAGAATAATCAGCAGTGAATAATGAATGTTCCATAGTCAGGGAGTCTACCATTTTAAGGGCTGTCTCATTCGCAAAATCTTACCAGTGCACTGAAACGTTCGCTCCCTAAAAGTCCCACAATGCACTGTGAAAACCATTGGTGAGCATCGGTGCTGCCTATGTTTCCGTAAAGGGATAGTTGCTGTTTGAAATTAATTTTTGATATGTTTTAGCTTACCTCAAGAGCATCCAAGATGTAGGTGTCTTTGTTTCCACAGTATTTTCAATTTTGGCATTTTTCAGTCAAACCGTTGTTGTCTATCAGTCATACACTGGAGGCTAAGGGGGGTCCACCAAAAAGCATGCACAGAGAAGTCAAAATTAAACATGATTTAATGACTCGTAAATGTAAGTACACATTGATGGCCTAAGACACGAAACGAGCGGTTTGTGTGAGAAAACGAACAGTATTTATATCGTTTTTACCTCTTGTAATCATAGCCATGACCAAATGATGTAACGGCACGGGCGCTTCGGTCTAGGCATGCGCCGGAAATGATCACTTACGGGCCTACGTCACTCTTTGTTTATACAGAGATTTCAGAAGTTTTACCTTTCACTAAACATATTTAGATATACGGGAAACCGCAATGGAAGACGATTTCGGTATATCTAAATATGTGTAGTAAAAGGTAAAACTACCGAAATCTCTGTGTAAATATTGAGTGACGTCACATGCAAGCGATCACTTTCGGCGTAACATTGAACTGATTCAGTTCGGTTCAGTTGGACATTGCACAACTGATTCAGATCAATTGGACGTCACTGTGAATACACGAGGTAAAAACGATATAATTACTGTTCGTTTTCTCACACAAACCGCTCGTTTCATGTCTTAGGCCATCAATGTGTACTTACATTTACGAGTCATTAAATCATGTTTAATTTTGACTTCTCTGTGCATGCTCTTTGGTGGACCCCCTTAGCCTCCAGTGTATGACTGATAGACATAAACGGATTGAATGAAAAATGTCACAATTGAAAATACTGTGGAAACAAAGACACCTACATCTTGGATGCCCTTGAGGTAAGCTAAAACATATCAAAAATTAATGTCAAAGTGAACAATCCCTTTAACGGAAGTACGAAACATGAACCAACTTACTACATAATGACTCGCAAATTTTTTTATTATAAATTTAAAAAAAAAATACAAAAAAAAATTACAAAAAATTATTTAATTATACTTCCGCATAAACATACAACGCTAGACAGGAAATAAACAATCTAACTAACATTTAACACTCAAATGTTACATGTAGCCTATATTTAACAAACAGAGTATTTATCATTTTAAATAACATTTAAAAAAGACATCAGTTCTGCTGTTGTTCATAAAAACCAGTAGTGTTGTTGTACAACAAAGATTAGTTATGTCGCAGGAAATTGAGTAATCAGTGTCCAAATGTGTGGTAAGCTAGGGTCCTTACAGTGCCTGAATTCATATACATGATATACTGATTCGTGACCTACAGGAAGCTAGGGAGCTAATTGTGATGCACCCTATAACTTTTGGCCCTCTAGCAATTAAACATATTATATTTATAAAAAATATAAAACATTTTTGTCAAGAATAACACACTAAAATGTGCACAATATGATTCGCTTAAGGATTTTTCTACTGGCCGAGTTGATATTTTCAATGATGATCACAATACACCACTATTTAACGTTAAGATAATAGTATAACAAATAATTAAATTGCATTAAACCTCATATTAGCTTTTAATGAGCAATTATAACAGGGGATTATGATATATATGACAGCTATAAATATATGAAATATATATGACCCTCTATGACAGCTATAAATTAATAAACAAAATTATTTTTTTTATAATACTCTACAACCCCTTTCTAAATGAAATATCAAAAGACAATCACTATTTCTAGATTATGAGCCATATTCAATACATCATTGTTAACCCTATATTTAAGTAGGAAAGGCATAAATGGCACATGAACATGATCAGCAGAACATAAGGGCCTAATAAGGCAAACCAAAAAAAAAGTTAGCAAGCCCGGGCTAAAACTATCAAATACAAAGTAATAAATAATTTAAATAAATAATACTAATGCCAAGTTCATTCTGAAAACAAAATAATTGAGTTTTTGATTTCTCCATCTACATTAGCACAAAGAAAGGTCCATTTCATAGCAGCCACTGCCACCAGGGGGCGCTCACCCTGAGCGGGCCATCCCAGAGCTGGGTGCAAATCCTGCTTCCAACCTGTGCCTGTTGAATCCCCATTACTGCCAACACAAGATCGTCTGGGGAAATGAAGAGATTGATTCAGCGCCTGCAGAGAAAATCCTCTTAACCTTATGAGGACCTGAAATAGCTTAAGAGTTTGAAGAGCGAGAGCAGAGCCCGAGAGAAAGCTGCCATAACAGAATTACCGTCTATCCTAAAAGAGAGATCATGATGTGTAATGATGAAGGCAGAACTTTAAGACCTTTGTGTGCACATGACCTAAAATAAGCAGAAATAAGCAGTTCTAAATATTTGCTTGAGTAAAGCTCACTACTATCTTTGGAAGTCAATTTTCGAACAGGGAACCTTCATTAAAAAAACATCACAGATTAGGCAGATGTGTTTGGTTTCAGACACAGCCAATGTAAAACCTTGTCTGTCGAGTACGATTACAAATGTCATCCTGTTCGTTTGAAACACAGTGAATGTTCTAACTTTGTTCCACTTGAGATTTTAATGACCACAGATGTGTGTGTGTTTGCTTTACCGGCTTTCTGATCTAATTTCAAGCTGAAGATAAAGTAAAAAACTCATAATCCTTTGCCATCCGACAAAGTACAGGTATACGCTCTCCGAAACTCGCCGATACACACACTGTACTAAATTTACCCCAGCATCGGTCGATGGAGTGGAGGGTAGATAACAAAATATGCAAGAGCTAGTCAATACGGAGAGAAAAAAGGAAGAGAGTAAAGAGCGAGAGAAACGGAAAACCTCTACTCTCTTGCTATGATCCGACCGGTTTCACATTTGAGAGAAATTCAACCATTTACATTTACATTGTACATGCTTTAAAGTCTGGACTTTCATATAGACCACTAAGCTATGTGTAAAATGTGTTCTGTTCTAATGATGAAGGATATTAGGGAAAAAACTGGCTTTCTGATATCCAAAAAGATTAGATAAATCATTATTTTTATTATCATAAAAACCTGATGAAATGAAAACAATATCTGTTAAGAGTAGGACATAAGCATTTTCAATAAGAGATGTGAATATACACAAGTCAAGTTTGACTTTCCATGGCAGTTAGACAAAATTAAATAAATAAATAAATCTCAGGACTATATGCTAATTTAAATGCCTCACACTTTAACCCCCAAATTTTCAAACCAAATATATACACCCTTGCTTTTTATGTTTCACAGAAGAAAGAAAGTCTTGAGTAGTAGTAGTAGGACGAGTAGAAAAATATGGACAGAATTTTCAGTTTTGGAAGAACTTTCCCTGTAATTGAAAATAGATGGGATAAAACATCTGATT